CTGATTTTATTTTATTTTATTTTATTTTTTGAGACAGGGTCTCATTCGGTCACCCAGGCTGGAGTGCAGTGGCTCGATCACGGTTCACTGCAGCCTCGACCTCCCGGGCTTAAGTGATCCTCCTGCATCAGCCTTTTGATCAGGTGGGATGACAGACATGTGCCACTATGTCTGACTAATTTTTAAATTTATTTTGTAGGGACAGGATCTCTCCATGTTGCCCAGGCTGGTCTCAAACTCCTAGCCTCAAGCCATCTGTCTGCCTGGGTCTCCCAAAGTGCTGGAATTACAGGCGTGAGCAATCATGCCCAGTTAAATCTAATTTTTAAAATGAGATGCTACTTGCTCACTTTGAATTTTCACTTTACAAGACAAGCAGCTAAAATTCAGGAACCCTGGCCCCAAACCTCCACTGTCTTCTCCACTAAGCTTGGTCCTCCTCCCCTAAAACTCTCTCATGATTCACCCAGGATGCTCCTTTTTGTCTTTTCTTCTTTCATTCCTGGAAATGGCGTAATAAATGTGTTCCATTTGTCTCCAGATGGAGTCATTAACAACCTTTCTTTTCTCCAAAATCCAGAGACAAATAGAAAGATGTGTCTGGATTAAGAGTTAAATTATTTACACTGTCTCTGGTAGGTCCCCTCCCAGTGCTCAGGCCTCTGCCAGTCACCCCATTGTTTGCCTGCAGGGTGGAGCTGGGTTTCTCAAGCTTTGACTCAGCTTCAGAAATGAGTCTTGCCTGCACCCTCCCTTCCCTGATGGAGTCACAGGCACGCACCTGCTCTCAGGTGCCTGCTCCCCTGCGCGGGAAGATGCAGAGCCCGGCTTTCTGGTTTTTAATACAGCATGGTCCTTTGAAGATGAGAGAGCAACTCCAGATTGGCCAGGACACAGTCCCGTGGCTAGGCTGGGGCAGTGGGGCTGGGAGGGGTGACAGCACAGTCACCATTCCACATAGCTTCCCAGGGCCCGCCTTATCTGGAGGGGCTGATTTGAGGGGTGCCAGGAAGTCTCCTCTCTCCTTTGAAAGCATAATCCACTGCCCTAGCCAGCCAGGGTGTTTGGAAATCAGCTATTACCCATTTAAGAGAGTTGGGTGAACCCTCCCTCCTGGATTCTGGATCCAGGGACCATCAGAGCTAGTTTTCTCGCCTATAAAATGTATAATACAATTAGCTTTCTTCATAGTGTATTGTGAAAACTGCATATGGAAGTGTTTGATAAGGTTTAATAACTAATAAAAAAGCACCTGTACCTGGCAGTGTGAGACAGGGATCAGTGAAGATCTCTTAGAGGAGGGAGGGAGGACATGATAGCGCTAGCAGGGAAAAGAGTACCTGGCTCCCAGGAAGGAAAGCAGGAGGAAGACTGGGGCAAGAAGAGGTGGAGACCACCACAAGCAACTTCCTAATTTGTCATCAATGCAGCCCCTGCTAAGAAGCTACCCAGTATTTCACTCCTGTCGGCTGACTGAGAGGAACTGTGATGTCAGGAGACTTACAGTTCAACCCTGGATGTGACATTAGCCCTCATGTGATCTTGCGCTAGGCCTGCCTCATTCCAAGTCTCAGTTTCCCTCTCTGTAAAATGGGAATAATGTAGCTGACAGGGAAGTTGAGTGTGGAAGTTTTGAAAGGTGTAACATGTTGAATGCACATGAGGTTGACTGGGTCTTGAGTGTTTATGATCTATGGCACGTGGTCCCTTTAAGGCCAGCCATATTTAGGTCTCTATCCTGGCCACCCCTAGGGTATCCTCTGAGATGATAGCTGCTTTAGAAGCCGAACTTTATCGCATGACAGAATGTTTCAAAACTAAGCAGGAGTTCTTTATTAATAAAATAAAAGGGCAGTGATCAAATTGGGGAAAATAGGAGTAAAATTCATTGCAGTAAACCCACATGGGTGACTGGGACATGAGGAATGGAGCTGTCCATCTGTTCACAGGCAATACACACATACCGGTGCCTTCGAGGCACCAGGCATGTGAAAAGCCCTGGTCTATGTCCATGCAAATCTGTCTTGCTGCATCGTTTCCTCGTGGGGAGTCCATATCAGCAAGAGCACAGAGGACTGGGAGTGTGTGGAAGTGAGGGCTGCAGGTGCAGATGGTGTTCTTCTTGGAGGCGGAATGCAGAACCGGAATCTGGAACCCAGAATATCACATTCTTCGTGTGGCTAGGCTTGGGAGGAGGAAGTGGGGGAGGTCCGGCCTGGAGGAGAAAATTAAGGGGCTGATTAAAGTGAGGATGACCCTGAAAAACGAACAGTTTTCCATCCACATACGACAGAAAGCTCAGGAGACATTATTAGTCATGGTCCCCACCCAGTGACAGTGACTTGTCCACCATGGAGATGCTGGCCGCAGTGATGGAGTGGAAATGTGCCCCAGGCCAGGCCCCCACCCAACTCCACCCCGAGCAGCTGCATGTGGTTGGGCATGCAGGTCCTTTAACTTCTTTGGGCCTGCCTCTTTAAACTGTCAGTAAAATTGTTATGAGGATTAAATGAGGCAAGGGATTTGAAAAATGCTTTGGAAAGTACATTAATGTATTCCTGTCATTTCTCAGGCCATCTTACCCCTTCCTCTGGTAATGGCAGCAGTGAGCCCTTGCATGGCCTCTTGGGCAGCGTCCTGACATCCATCTTTGGGGTAGAAGGCTAGAGGTGGACCAGCTTCCCCGAGGACCTGCCTTTCCCCATCCCAGGGCCTAGGAGGCTATATGAAGGACCAAGGCTCCTTCCTCCCACCTAGATAAGGCCCTGAGTAGGATTGCTGGATTTAGCAAATAAAAATAGAGCCTGCCCAGTTAAATTTGAATTTCATATAAACTACAAGTAATTTTTTAGTATGTTTCCTGCAATATTTGGAATATACTTATACTTTCAAAATATTCTGTTATCTGAGATTCAAATTTAACTGAATGTCCTATATTTTATGTGGCAAGTCTACCACGGGGACCAATTCTATCCCACATTCTGTGACCAACACGATTACTCCTCAGCACCCCAACTCCCAATGGGCAGGTAGGGACAGCACCACCGTGTGCTGGGGCACCATTCACATCATCTTCTACCTGTGCCCCAGAGAAGCCCCACAGAACACTACGTGGACTGTCTCCCTGGATTAGGAAGGACACTTGCACTGTGAATTGAGGAAGGGGGATGAGTGGTACCTGGGGCTCGGGATTGAATCATCCAGATGTGAATTCAAATCCCATCTCTGCTGTTACTACCTGTTTAATCTTCCTCAGCCTCACTTTTCTCATCTGCAAAATGGTAACGATGACACTTTCCCTAGAGGGGCTATGAAGATGAAATGAAATAATAAGCATGACAGGTGCTGCTGGTGCTAGCCTCGCAGTGAGTGCTCGAGAAACGGCAGCAATTTGCAGCAAAGGGGATGTTCACATTTTTGTCAGAATTGCCCCAAACTCCATCCTCTCCCTCTTCCTCTTTTTGCTTCAATGTTTCTTATAACTGTCTGCCTGCAAACAGCTCCTTCAATTTGTTCTATATTATCTATGTAATTGTATACTATCTATATTATCTATATAATTGATCTATATTAAAAAGACCTTGATTCCCCGAGTTTGAGCAAACACCTTTGGTGGGTTAAATCAGCTCAGGTGCAGGGACTTGGAGTGTTGAAAATATGTGGTGGGTGGCTTTCATCAAAACAGCTCAGCAAAGCAAGTCCCTGGAGGAAGTGCAGGTGGGAGAAGTGGGTGAGGAATTCTCTGGGAGGTGGTAATCAGGACCACACCAAGTGCCCTGGGCAGGTTGGGGGCCCTATAAAGGCTCTTGGAGTGGCTGCCTATGGAACAGGGCTCAGCCTCCTCTCCTGGGGTCCAGTTTGCCGCCTCTGGTAAGTGGGAACTCATCTGTTCTCCTGGGATTTGTGGGGCTCTTTCCTTCTCCTTTAACTCCTTTGAGCCACTAGGCCAAGATCCTCTACTATCCTTGGGTAATCAGGGAAGTGACACAAGTCTCCTGACAATTGCAGACAGGGCACACTAATCATTACTTAGAAAGTTTAATCTCCATTCCACACCATTGCTCGCTTGGTATGACTTCTTTCCTGATCGTGGTTTGACTCCCCAGCAAGAAGATTTTTCTTGTTGAAGGAAGAGATATTTAGAGCTATAGAATTTTGTGGCAATTCTGAGCCCTGTTTAAAGCTTTCTCACACCCTATTCTGCATTTTCCTTACCAGTAAGCTTTAAACTTTTCTTCCAGGTGTATGGAAACAGGTATATTAAACAGTGTCTTCAATCCTATGCAGCTCCCATTCTTCCCTATTCTGATTGCCACCTCTTTACTTTCTGAGGCCTGCACTTCCCATCTATAATCATTAACTTAGACCATAAGGAACACTGCCTACAAAGATAGCCAGAGACACTCATCAGAGCTGGGAAGGCTTCAGGGAACTTCCTGACCAGCATCCTTCTAATAAAGGTGCTGAGGCCCAGAGAAGGCAGGTTGCCCATGCAGTGAATGGCAGGATGGACCTAGAACCCAAGCCTGAGCCTTCTTGGCTAGTGCTCTTTCCTTTGAACATCCTCCTATCATCCTATGGCTCCAGTGATCTATTTGGCTGGCCCTTAAGCTTCCCAGTTCTTTGTAGAAGGCTGGAACCACTATCCTATAGCCATATAGGACTTGCCTTAGCCTTCCGTGGTGAGTCAGGGGTGGAGCAGGGATTAGAGATCAGGCCTCTGCAATCTTGGTACACCCCTTGTCCAGCCCAATCTCTCTCTCCCTCTCTCTCTCTCCCTCTCTCTCTCTCTCACACACACACACACACACCATGATGCTTCCCTGTAAGACAGAGACTGTTCTTGTTCTCTCCTCACACCCCTACATCCTTGCCCATTCTTATTGTCTGCATTATCCAAGGGAGCCAGTTGACATTGTCCAGATCTGTCAGCTAAGATGGCATGCTTTGACCTTGTAAAATGTCTGGGATACTTTTTAATCATCAGACATGCTTCTCATGGTGTCCCTGCCCGGTTTCCTTTAGGCTCACCTGTTCCTAGAGCAATGTCTTCCCAGCAGCAGCAGCAGCAGCAGCAGCAGCACTGCCCACCCCAGAGGGCCCAGCAGCAGCAAGTGAAGCAACCTTGTCAGCCACCCCCTGTTAAATGTCAAGAGACATGTGCACCCAAAACCAAGGATCCATGTGCTCCCCAGGTCAAGAAGCAATGCCCACCGAAGGGCACCGTCATTCCAGCCCAGCAGAAGTGTCCCTCAGCCCAGCAAGCCCCCAAGAGTAAACAGAAGTAAGGATGGACTGGATATTAACATATTCCACCATCCTGGCTATCAGATGGAACCTTCTCTTCTTCCTTCTCTCCTTCCCTCCAGCTCTTGAGCCTACCCTCCTCTCCCATCTCCTCCTGCCCAAGATGTAAGGAAGCACTGTAAGGATTTCTTCCTATCATACCCCTCCCCACACATACCACCTTGGCTTCTTCCATATCCCACCCTGATGCCCTCCCAGGTAGGCATGAGAGAGACCTCATCCTCTCCAGGCTCCAGCATGGCCACAGCTAAGGCCCATCCATTCCTCAAAGTGAGGAAAGTGTCTGGGCTTTTTCTGGGGTTCCACCCTGACAAGCAGGGTCACAGAGACTGGCGCACAGTTTCTGCCTCATTCCTTTCCCTGATGCCCCCTAATCTGGGCTTCTCTCCTGTTTTCCCCAATAAAATAATGTGCTTCATGTAATAACTGTGTCTGCTTCCTGGGCTAATTGTCCACTCCCAGTCCCATTCTGTGATTCATTCATTCATTCAGAGAGGGAACATTTTAGGGAAGTGAAGGTGCAAGTACACACATGCCTGGGAGTTCAGGAAGTCACTCTTACGGACACAGTTACTCTCTGGTAACCAACCATGGGGAAACATATCCAGACATATCTCAGGTAAAGGAGGACAGAAAACAAGCCCAGCAACTCATTGACAAAAGTTTAATAGAGTCTTGCATAACTAATCCCATCTAGGGAAGATCAAAAAGGAGGAAAATTTAGCTCCTATCATTAGAAGCCCAGCCCACCTGATGAATGCAGTTTTTTCCTCTTGGAAATTGTCATTCCGAAAAAACACACAAAGCATACGTAAATGGCCTGAATCCTGCAAAACATTTCTACAAACATGTGCAAATGACTTTTTCACATATTTGTTTATGTTTTTATTCATTCATTAACTCACGCTCATTCACTTACTTATTCATACTCACTCATCTGATATGTAGCAAGTTCTAGAATGACCTTAGTTTTCCACTCTGCCATGCTGGATTTCCAGAGCTATCCAGAGTCAGTTTATCCTGTGTCTCAGTGTACTCTTTGGAAGTCAAAGTCGTTTCCTTACACATGGAAATGTTGTTCCAGGGATGGCCACGTACAGAGAGTTTGTACAAAGTACACAGGGCCTGGTTTTGTCAGTTAGTCTGACTTTACGCAGCTTATGAAAGAAACCTGTTTTTACAACTGGCTTCCTGACCCTCCTAACCCATGTGTGAGACCAGCGGCCTGTATTGGAAAGAAGCGGCATACCTCCCAGACATAAAGAAAGAAAAGTATTTGAAGAAGAGACCCTGAGTAGGAAGGAGTAGTTGAACACAGAGCCAGATTTTCTCCCCTTGAGCTTTATTCTTTTCCTGGGATTTGGTCACTCAGTTTCAGTTGCCACCATCAAGCATAAGTTGCTTTCTCACTTAACACACTAGCCTAAAAAGGAACAAATGACCACCTTCTCTACTTTCCCTTAAAGTGGCTATCCATGGCTGATATTTCCAAGTAGTAGTTACTTAAAACTTAGTGGGTACCGACATTAACTAGGAAAGTCAAAGTATTGTAAAAACAATTAAGATTCAAAAAGAATGCTTCTAGCCCTAGGAATTCATTGACAGCCTTTCTTTGCCCCAATCCCTGCATCCTAAAATAACTCCCCTCTGTCAAGTACAAAGGCTGGTCTGTCTTAGCAGTCCCCTTCCTGGCTTCCTTCCATCTAAGCCCTATTCAGTTTCTTGGACACACTATTTTTCAGGTGTTTCATGTCATTTTCATGTCTCCCAGGAAGGCCTTGGCAAGTCTTCCCACAGACTTTTGAGTTCCAGGCTGATAGATTTGCATGGTCTTCAGCTAATTGGACAGATAGGGGTGATTGAAACAATGAATATTTCTGCTGTGATCTGTGTCTCAGTTATTAACTCAGTGAGGAAGGGGAGATACCCATGTTTAAAGTCCCATCTCTGCATGACTAGGTGGGCATCCATTCCCCCTTACGAAGAAATTATTTTATGTAATTCCACCCTTCAGAAGTTCACAAAACAACATTGGCTTATGTCAAAATCGCAGCCATAATTAAACACATAAAAGTTAAATTATGAGCCCTTAAAGCACAGGAGTCTTGTTTAGCTCACTATCACCAAATGCGCAATGACTAGCTTTTCAAAAGTACAGAAGAAAGAACTGTTTCCAGGTGGAACAGGACAGCCTGTGGCAAGCCAGCAGCCTAGTGTATATCTAGACCAAATTACAAACTATCTGTACCCACCCGGGGACCCTACAACTCCAGAGATAGGACAGCCTCAGAGAGGTGAGCCAACAAATGTTTACCTGGGATAATCTGTGGATTCTAGGCAAGAGCAGAAGAATGAAAACCAAAGCTTTCTACTGTGGAGGACCATTGCTAGGGACAGAGAGACCAAGAGAATTTATGGGTGCTCTCGGGGGCGGTCTTTAAGCAAGTGGTTGACATTCCACTTGGAACATTTAATGAATTCTAGGAATGGTCAGGTCAGGATATTAAATACCTAAGCAGAAAGTCTTTGAAAAGTCGAGTGGAGTTTTTAGTAGGTTTATGAAACAATGAATGGAGTTTGCAGCCTTCCAGGTGGAGGGCCTCTGGCAAACACACCAGATAGAGAGTTAAAAACTGAAAGGCCAGGGGTAATTCTAGTCTGTTGGATAGAAGTCAAAATCATGGCCATCACTGGGGAGAGTACCAATTGGAAGGGGATATCATGAAGTTTTCTGAGATTCTGGATAAGTTCTCAGTCTAGTGGGTGACAGTTACCTGGGTTCATACATGTATCAAAACATACACTCAACTGATTTGTGCATTTTTCTTTTTGTTAGTTTAACCTCAATAAAATAGAAATATCATTAAAATAGCATCAATAAGTGTAATGAAAGATAAGACATTTATACTAAAAATACAAAACATTATTGAGAGAAACTAAGACAGAACTCACAAATTTGGAGATGTTTCATGTTCATGTATTAGAAGACTATTTTGTAGAGATGTCTATTATCCTTAATTTGATCTAAGATACATAAATTAGAATGAAAGTGTGATACTGCTACACAATGCAACATATTGGCTAAAACTAAAAAGATAATACCAGGTGTTGGTGAGAATATGGATAAACAGAAGCTTTTATAAACTGCTGAAGGTAGTGTAAATTGGACAACCATTTCAGAGAACAATTGGGCAGTATTTCTAAAGTTGATCATATGCATCCCCATCCCAACAATTTCACTCTTTATTGTATACACAACAGAAATGTGTACATAGAATTGCTAAAACACATGTATGAAAACAGTTATAATAGCAGTATTTGTAATAGCTCCAATTAAAAATATTCCAAATATCCATTAAAAGTAGAATGGATAAATTAATTGTGAATTTTCATACAATGGCATACCACAACACAATGACATCAGACAAGCTCTACCCATAACATGGATGAATCCTTCAAACATAGTCTTGAGGGAAAGAAAGCAGATATTAAAAGCATATGTTGTATAATTCCATCTGTTTTTATGAAGTCAGAATGACTAGAAGGTAAGCTTTACGAGGATCTGGCAAAGTTTTGTGTCTTTACCTGGGAACTGATTAGACAGATGTAGTCACACAAATGCATTGAGCTGTGTACATTTTCCTGTATAATAATATTATATTTCCTTTTCTTAAAAAAGAGTTATATAAATTTAAAAAAGTACTTCGGCAATATTTCAATCCTGATTGGCTTAAACCATTATTTTTCTCACTATTTGTGTGCATACTTTACCCATTTTCTACCCCATTGTATCTTCAAAGCCCATCCGCAACATGTCAACAAAATTAAAACATGTCTGTTCTTCTGAGGAAAGAAGACTATATTTACAAAACCTCCAAACACTGCCAGGGGAGAAGGGATAGCTCAATACACCCTCCTCCCAGTATTCTTCCTTCTCACTATTTTATTACCTAGAAAATTCTGTCTACCCCAGAAACAGAACAATGCCCTACCTGATCTATCTGTCACAAACACTCAGCAGCAGGCTCAAATTCCCAGCCACCTCCTGTTCTGGCCAGGAGGCCCTCAGAGGCAAAGTGAACAGGCCTGGGCATCTGCATTGGAGCTGTTCTGACATTCCATTTCTTTTTGCAAAAGGAGTAGGGGCTTTCAGACTGAACAGAATTGAATCTCAGCTTCTCCATTTCCTGGCTGTGTGATTGCATTCTGTCACTTAGAGCCAAAGCCCGTTTTCTCATATGTGAAAAGGTGTCAGGGTCAAACAACTATTTGCAGCATTTTGGGGAGGATTGGTGATAATATCCAGAAAGTGGCTGCATATAGCATATGCTCATTAAATGATTGATTTTATTTTCATCTACAGCTGGGGAAGGTGGCTATCAAAGCGTGAGCTAAGGATACTCCTCTGCCTAGAAGTAGAAGGTGGCCATATGGAAGTCTTTTTACTCTAGCTCAGGAGTCTATGCTAATAAGTAATTGTTATCTGTTTCCCAGCCTGGGAAGGCTCCAGGCTAGAAAAGAGGAGACTTAGATTCTAGTTTTGGGTCTGCTATTGAATAAATCTGTGACCTAGAACAAGTTCCTTAACCTCAGTCCTTTATCCATAAGATGAGAGGTTGGGTTGGATGCCTTAAAATTAGGTCGATCTATTAATTCTTTTGAGTTTTTGCATGTGTATGGTTTGTGTTCCCTACCCCACCCTCTCTAACCCCATCAGGGTGGATCTGGGGGTTTCCTAATAAGCAGAGTACATACATGGGTTTGGGGCAGGAGCAGAGCTCAAAAGATAAGAGAGTAAGTAAATGAATGAATGAAGATCAGATTCCATGAACAATTTCAGGCTATGGTAACTAGAAAATTTAAAAACAAGTGGCAACTAGGAATTTAAGGTAATTTTGAAAAATAAAGATTTATCTTATATAGATGGGCAGAGGAGGATTGAAGGGCAGTAACGAGGATCAGAATATGCCACCCTAAAATGTCCCACTTGGCACAAGTATTCTTTTGAGCTGAAGGCAGTTGAGGGTCAACAAGGACATAGTTTTCTGCCTTCCTCCTACCTGCCTAAAGGCAGAGCACAAGTTTATCCCCTCTCTTGAGCAGGATGAGAGAACCAATTCTTATTACTGGAGATGGAGAGCCGGCACTGAGATGAGTCTGCATGAACAAACCTTGCTAAAGTAGCCCTTATATTTCAGAAGTTTCCCCGTATAATCCCTAGTCATCTTCCACAATGTATTATCTCTTGAAGCTCAACCCCTTTTTCTTTCTTAGGAAGAATATACAGGCTCCCAAACCTAACCACTTCTTTGGGGTTTCACTTCTTTTCTGTGAAATACCTATGCATGTAAAAAATATTGATATCAATATAAATCATATGCCTTTTCTCCTATTAATCTGTCTTCTGTCAGTCACATTTG